CCCACCCAATTTACCTCATTAACTCCGTATACCTTGTGTCACAACTCTTCACTCGAATACGGAAACTCTTTCAAGGTTATTCTTCACACATCAGCTGGTGATATCGAGATCGAGCTATGGACTAAAGAATGTCCTCTTGCATGTCGAAATTTTCATTCAACTTTGTATGGAAAAATACTACGATGGTACTATATTTCATAGGTTGGTTAAAGGTAGGCATCGTGATTTGTGGTTTTCAATTTTTAAATAGCTAACGGTGTTTTGAATCATAATTATTTCATTCATTTTTGAATCCTGAACTGTAGTGGTTGAAATCTTTAGAACGTCTGAAAGCCAACAGCCTTGCGGTTCACTGCCGATATCGGCTAACCGGCTCATCACGTTGAACGTGTGAGTGCTGAAAGGCAGTAGCACAAGAAAGCCATTGAGCTGAGAGGGCACGAGTGACGCGCGTAAATAACGCAACTGCCCCGTTAGCGGGACAAACGGGTTAAAATCCCGTCTCAGGTCCGACTTTTGCCCATATCTCAGCATTCTTGTGAGTAACTTTCGGAGCGCGCACTGCGGCGTTAACAGCAGTATCAAACTAAAACAGCTTTAAAACTCACAATAATGTTGGGTTCCTGGATTACAACCGTCAGGGTCGGAAGCAGTCGTGGCCCTGCACATGCAGCTGTTTTTTTGCTCGTAAAAAATATACTTAGGTTTTTGGACACATAGTTTTCCTCTTTCAGATTATATAATACAAGGAGGTGATCCCACTGGTACCGGTCAAGGTGGCGAAAGTATATATGGAAAGCCGTTCAAGGTTTGTGTGCTTCCCTCTATACTTCTAACTGAGTGCTCTCGGTAGTTAGCAGAAGGTAGAGATTCAGGATGAATTCCACCAGCGTCTCCGATTTAATCGTCGTGGACTTGTTGGGATGGCAAATGCCGGAAAAGATGATAATGGTAGTCAGTTCTTCTTCACTGTTGGCAACGACGTTCGTGAGCTCGACAAAAAGCATACATTGTTTGGAAAGGTGTGTTAAATGTTATTGCACTCAAGTCCACAATTTTGCACGGTAGTTTGCTAAGGAGCGCTCACTCCTTGTCAGGACTTATTGTCTTACCGCTAGCTGTTCTTTTCTTTAAACGAGCTATTGAGCAAGGGCTATTTAGATTGTTGGGAACACCGTATTCAACATGCTGAAGATGACTGAATGCGATGTCGATGAGAATGAAAGACCGAGAACTATACACAAGATCAGAAACGTCACCATTCTCACAAATCCTTTCACGGACATGCAACCAAGGCATGTTTCTC